AGCACGCGAGAGGACACAAGACCCTTCCGAGGGCCACATTGCCACAGGACTGTGGGAAGCATGGGTCGCGAGACACAGGACACGAGGGTACCCTTGATTTGGCAGGGTCGACCTCATAAATGTGGGCCGACTGTATTGACCACAAGATGATATTTGGGTCGGGCATGTCTCCCTACAGGCGGAATGTGGAAGACAAAATGCAAAATAGCCAAAACATATCTAAACCAAAACAACATCAGCCAGCGTTGGCTCCAAATAGATTAGACAACTCAAATCAAATAATCTGAGGAATCGAGCATGCTTGGAATCCGCAACTCCTTCCTTGCGTGCAAGCAAGCGTGCAAGCAAGCGCGCAAGCGCGCAGGCGCAAGCAAGCAAGCAAGCGTGCAAGCGCACAAGCAAGCAAGCAAGCAAGCAAACAAGCAAGCAGGCATTGTCATAGGCGTAGGCCTAGGAGTTAGGGGGAGGCATAGGCATAGCCATAGGAATAGGGGGGAGGGTAGGAATTAGGGGGGGTGCAACGGACCAATTAGCAGGGCTTGAGCTGGGACTCCTATAAGGCAAGCCGATTTGGTGAAAGATACTCACCACGTCGTCCCCATACTACTTTTGGACTGTCCTTGAGTATTCCTCCTGCAGAAGGGCACGCCCGACTCGAGATCATCTGGATCCGGCCAAGCGCGCAACCTCTCCTTGTCTGCCCGCGGTGCTGGGGGAGCCGAGGCCTCCCTCCGCTGCCCCGGGCCCCCGGCGCGGCCGCCCTGTTTCTCCACTCCGAAGCGCTGGGTGGTGCAACACACTACACAATAGCCGGACAGCCCTGGCTAGCCCTCCCGGAGCTCACGTGCAGCCAATCCGCACGGCAAGGACGAGCGACTCTCCAAGGCGACACGTCGTTCATTTCTATATCGTGTTCATTCCTAATTGTGCTCGTTTCTAAGTGTTCCTGGCCCCCTAGTGGCAAGGAAGAGGCCCAGGATAGAACAAGTAGAAATGAAAGCATCTTGGCCCCCCAGAAATCAAAGACCTTTCGAATAATCAGACATGAACAATGTGTACCCTTGCATCCCTCGCCCTCGGCCCCGTCTTGGCCACGTTCGCCGGCTGCTCCCTCTCCGAAGCGGTCGACGCGACCTTCCACGGCCCTGGCAGCCTCATCGCGCGTCCTTATGCTACGGGTTGGCTGCACAGGAAGACACAACTGCATGGACACGTCACCCTTTGGAGCTCCGCGCGGAGGTCTCGCATCGGCGCTGGGCCCCCCCTCCCTGGCGCGCGGAGCGCGCCAAAGGTCGGGCTGGGGAAGCTGCCGCGGGGGAGCCAACGCCGATCCAAAAGTTCCGCGCGGAGCCCCGAGAGATGATGTGTGCTCGTCGGTCGGAGCAGTGTGCAGACCCGTGAAGTGGGAAGGCGCTGAAGGCAGATCGAGCTTCCGCCCGACACCCGAAGAGGCGGGGCGAGGGAACGCCGCTCGACACCTGAAGCAGGAGACCGCGCCTGGAGCAGACTGGGATCCGGGAGCCGCAGAAAGAAACCTGCACGTCGTTCATTTCTAATCGTGCTCATCTCTAACTGCGCTCGTTTCTAATTGTTCCTGGCCCCCTGGTGGCTGGGAAGAGGCCCAGGACAGAACAGTTAGAAACGACAGGATCTTGGCCCCCAGAAGATCAAAGAACTTCCGAATAATCAGAAAAGAACAATGCGCACTTCTGCTGACCCGTGTGCTCATGCGGTTGCCTCTCCTTCGCAAACCGCCGCCGCGGGTCAGGGGTCGGGAGTCCACGCGCGCCCGCTCGCGAGGACGTGGAAGGCGAGGCCCGCGGCGAGGGCCTCCAGCACCTCTCTGTGCTCGACCTGGCTGCCGTCGGGGTGGATTGGAGAGGACACGCGAGAGGACACGAGACTTATGTTGTTCCCATCCTACTTAAGGACCGCATCCCAGAAATAATTTCGAGCACCCAGAAGAAAAGTGTCAAAAGAGTGTCGAAAAAGTGTCGGGCGAGTGTCTCCCAGGGCCCGACACGTGAAAACCCTTGAGTTTCGTTTTTTTTTGCGTTTGTGAATTGGGGGGGGGGTCAAGACCCGTTTTCCCCTGTTTCACTGGGCTGACACGCTTACCTGTAGCGCGGGCGTTTGGGCCCAAGCAAAAGGAGCGCCCGTCCCCCAGGGCAGTTGCAGCGGGAGACAGGCAACGATAGCGAGGTTTCGGTCGATTCGATCGAGTTCTCCGAGCTGTGACTCCTACGACACGCTGAGGGTGATCGGAGGAGAGAGCACGAGCGAGAACGAGGTTGGTAGCGGAGCTCCGTGGTTGGCCCCACGGACTCCAGGATAGATTGCGGGGACTAGCCATCCCCGAGAGCCATGGCGACTGGAGGCAACTAGAACAGTTCAATGGATCCCAAGACCCCGGTGCTGAAGGGCGAGACACTGAAGGATGTCACCAGGTACAAGAGGGCTGTTCAGGTGGCGGAGCGAGGATGCGAGTCGAAGGAACAACGCGCCGCCCTCGGCCCGAAATTGTCTCGGAACCTCCTCGGCGCGGACAATCCGATCAGCGTGCTGATCGAGCATACGGACCCGAGAGATTACGCCGTGGAGGACGGAGCGAATGTGCTGCTCAAGCTTCTAGAGACCGAGCGCTTCGCGAAGAGCAGTTTCCGTGAGTTGGCGAAGGCGTTCGACACGTTCTTCGACCTCACACACTTCGAGAGGAAAGGTGGGGAGCCCATGGCGGCGTTTTGTGCGGCCATGGAGGTGGCGCGGCGGAACTTAGAGGAGGTGGGCCCGGACACGAAGACCAGTTCGAATAAGCTCGGGTACCACGCGCTGAAGCGCAGCGGTTTGGACAAGGATGAACGTAACCTGGTGGTCGCGAGGGCGGACGAGACGCTCAATTTCGTGAAAATCTCGACAACGCCGAAAAACCTATTCCCTCGCGGCGGACGTAGGCACCAAGGACAGGGCAACAGGACGGGCTGGAAGTGGACAGTGCACGCGAACGACACCGAGACTGGACAAGTCGATGGAGAGGACCAACGCAACGGTGAGTACTGGGTGCAGGACGACGACGGGCACTGGCACGAATGGGACGATGATCACGGAGTCTACACATGCACTGACGAGGACGGGGAAGGCGACTGGGACAGCAGTCACCTGTTCTACCTTGAGGACGAAGCCGGCGCGTTCCTGGCGGAAGAAGATAATGACTACCACCAGACCCTAGTCACGACGCGAGAGAGCCGCCTCAAGATGAACAGATTGCGGGCGGCAAGGGGATTCTTCAAAGGAAAGGTCGACGGCGTTGTGGGCGAGAGTGCGGCAGCCGGCGGTTACGCGGCAGGCAAGACCGCGGGAAAGGCAAAGGAAAGGGCAAGGATGGCGGCAAGTCGAAGGACAAACGCTGCAACGCGTGTGGCCAGATGGGCCACAACGCATCGGAGTGCCCGGCCAGCGGACAATCGGGGAAGCCCGCTAAGGGCAAGGGCCACGGCAAAGGATCGAAGTCGGCCCCTCGCCCACCACGGCTTGGATTCTGGGCAATGACGGCTCTGGTGTGTGCAGTATCGTCATGCGTGGACGTTAGACACCAGATGCGAAGCCCGTGCACGAATTACATCCACATGCAGCCCGAGAAAGATTACGATATCATGACGGTGAAACTGGACAGCGATCCGATCGTGCCGGACAGGCCCGAGCTCGAGGTGATGATCTCCAGCGACGTCGTGCCAGCGCCCCTAGTGGACAGCGGGGCCTCGGTTGCAGTCGCAGGACGCGGATGGCTTGATCGCGTCGAGGCAGAGCTAGCAAAGCACGGTCTCAAGCCCGTCAAGGAGGAGGCGCGCCAGAAATTCAAAGGGTCTCGGTGGAGCATGACGTGAGTCAAAACAGAAGTGGATCATCCCTGTTGGCGCCGGGAAGCAGCGCGCGCTGCAGGAGCATCAAGATCCCCGGCGACATGGTCGGTCTGACGAGCAGGAAGGACCTTGCCGAGTGGAGGGCGAACCTCTGCATGCGCGAGGGCGGCCACTGGGCGGACTTCCAGGAGCTCGGGGTGCGCGGCAAGGCGCTGGTGAAGCTGCCTGGTGGGCATGCTGGGCTCGACCTCTTCGACTGCGACCTTGAGTCGCACGAGTCGAAGCCCCTCTTCGAGAGGTTCCGCGTGGGCGAGATGCAGCTCGAGCCGGGCGCGTTCCTGGTCGCGGAGACGCAGCAGGAGTACGAGCCGGGCTTCCCGGTGAAGGGGCACGCCGGCTCGTGGGTCGCGGAGGCTCTGAAGAACGGCAGCAAGGGCATATTCAAGAAGGGAACGTTCAAACGGATCGACAAATTGATGAACGAATATTCGGTTATCTTCGACGTACTGCGGGACAACCGGGAGACCTTCCTGTGGGAGCTGTTTGCGAAGGGGGGCTCGCTTTACTCGTGTAGCCTCGAAGGGTGGTCATGCGAACGCGACCCCCTCGGATTTGTCGGTCGGGGTTAACTTCAACGACCCCCAGGCCCAGTCGGATTTCCTGTTCTTGATGAAGACCTTCGAGCCATGGATGGTCTCGGTCGCGTTCCCATGCACACCTTTTTGGAATATGCAAGAGTTTCGGCGAGCTCAGGACATGGGCGACCGGGTGGACGACCTCATCGATGAGTTCAGGCCACTGGTTGACTTTTCGGCTACAGTGCTCCGGACTCAAGCTGAAGGCGGACGCATCGGCATCGGCGAGAACCCTCTCGCGAGCCGTGCTTGGAACGAGGAGCCGATCATTAATCATGGATCCGTTGCGTTGGCACGGTGAGCGACCTCCATTGTGCGAAATGGTTACGCTACACCAAAGCATGTTCGGACTGACGGGTGACTACGGAACGCCGATTCGGATGGCCACGCGTATGCTGGTGCCCAACGGTTCATGCTTTCCGTGGTGGCTCAATCGCAAGTGTGACCAGCGCCGCGAGCATGCCGACGCGGTCGGACGAGGCACGCTGCTCTCGCGGGCTAGCGCCTGGCCGGACGACCTGGGCAATGCCGTGGTGAGCGCTGGCACTCATGAGCTAGCGCGGCGCACCGACCTGAAGAAGCTGGGCATCGGAGACGGTGCGAGGAAGGTCCCGGAGAGGACCATGCGCGGGGTGGCCAAGGAGTTCAAGCTGGGGAAGGACCTGATCGACGTACGCGTGCTGAGGTAGAACGAGGCTATCCCTGTACCTCGCGGAGCTGTGCGCTGCATCTGCGCCATGTACACCGACAAGGGCGTGCTGGCCGACTTCTCCGATGCCTACGCGGACGACCCGAACTTCACGACGGTCGAGCTGGCCTCAAGGTATCCAGCCGACACGGTGGTCGCGATCTATGTGATGGCGCCGAAGGTGCAGACATCTTTCCCCGCGACGGTACACTTACTGGGCAGCCGACCAGAAGCATTCAAGCCCGACGATCGTGAAGCAGACGCAGTACATCGAGACCTACATCGCGAAGGTGGGAGCTTTGGCGACAATCCTTCGGACATCACCACGGCTCAGTGGGGTGCCCTGAGGTAGCTCCCCTTGAACCTGAGCCACCCGTCGGCACGCGCGCTGAAGCGACGCCTGAAGTCCTACGGCGTGTCGCAGAAGGTGGGTGCTCGACGCGGTGGACACGTTGGCCTATGTTGTGTGCAAGGAGCTTGGGAAGCCCAACGCTACGGGATCGGCCAACCTGAAGCTCCCGACGGAGTTCAACGAGAATGTGTTTCTGGACGGAGCCGAAGTGATTATCTCAGATAAGAACCGGTTGATGGCGATGGTGATCCTGGATGACGCGTCGAGCTTCAGGGTCATCATTCCTACTACGGCGGTGCGGTCCATCACGGGTGAGGATAGCCTTCGCTGCTTCTCGCAAGGATGGCTATCATGGGCTGGCCCTCCGAAGGTATTCTGTTACGATGCAGCGAAGGGCCACGTCGTGCAGCGGTTCGCGGAGATCGGCGAGAAGTACAACATCCTGATGAGGCCTGTCCTGGCAGAGGCGCCTCAGCTCAATGGCAGAGTGGAACGGGCCATCGACTTCTTCAAGGACCATAACCAGCACCTGAACCGCGATGTGCAGCTCACCAAGAGCGACGACCCATCCGCGTGGACTTCGGTGATAGCGCGTACGCGCAACAACCGCATCCGTCGGAATAGTTTCACGCCCTACCAATAAGTACTGGGACGATCGCCTAATGTTCCAGCCTCGTTGATCGAGGCGATGGAGGGGGTTAGGAGGCAGCTGGCGGCGCAGAGCGCAGCACTTTTCGAGGGCGGTCCCAGGAGGGCCGAGCAAATTCGCGCTGCGGCGAACCGGGCGTTCTTCGAGCTGGACAGCGACGACGCAGGGAGAAGGGCCACGGTTGGTCGGGTTCGCCCGCCGCGCGGGCCGTTCGTGCCGGGACAGCTGGCGTTCTACTGGCGTGAGGTGAAGCGCGTGAAATCGAAGCGGCTACAGGGCGAGCGCGGGCGGCGCGGCCCAGCCATTGTGCTGGCGGCCGAGGGCCACGCAAGGCTACACCTCAGCTATCGCGGGGCGCCGATGCTAGCGACGCCCGAGCAGGCGCGGCATGCCTCTCGCGGTGAAGCCGAGATGGTGGAGAATGAGGACCTCGCCAGGCAACTGTCGCAGTGGCGCGGAGGATCTACCCTCCAGAAGGGCTTCGTGGACGAGCGCGGGCCTGGGCCGGACGGGAGCGGTGCCCAGCGCGACAGGCGTCGCAAGAAGAACGACGGCGACTCGGACAACGAAGACGCCGTGGGCGACGCGCGGGCTACCAAGACGCCACGGGCAGAGGAAGCTCCACCGCCTCCCCCGAGGAGGTCCGAGGCTACTCCCAAGCGAGAGAGACAGATCAAGGAGGAGGACGCACCGGAACCTGGAGTGCTAACCGAAGTACCACCACTACCTGGAGATGGAAACGACATGCAGGACGTGAGAGATGAAGATACACCCAGATGGAGACGACATGCAGGATGCTACGGCTAACGACCCACCCGTGCCTGATGCAGCTGGGCAGGGGCGCGCCGCGGACCTGGGCGCGGCCGCTGTGCCAAGCGATCCGCGGCAACGACCTGAGCAAGAAGGACAGCCAGAACCTGCGCCGCAGCCTGGTTCTCGAGGGTCCCTGTGCAAGCGATCACTACCTGACGACTTCGAAGCAGATCGCGAACGCCTCCGCGTGCGTCGCGAAGCTCGCAAGCAGAGTCGCCCCCCGAAGATCGAGGACGACGAGATCGACGACGAAGTGCTCTTCCTCAGGGTAAAGAATCGCTCGAGGGGCGCATTCGCGGCCAAGGGGACTGACGCCGCGAAGAAGCATGTCGCCCCGAAGAAAGGTCGGGAAGTACGCAGCACCCCGCCAGAATGGAAGACGGTATCCGAGGCGAGTGACCTGGCAGAGTGGCGTAAGTGGATTCAGTGCGACGCCGTGGAGTGGCCGAGCGAAGAGGAGCTCACGGGCGCCGAGAAAGCGGACATCCAGCCCATGAGGCGCGTCCGCACCGACAAGAATGAACCTGCGAGGGGAGGGGGTCTCTCGTGCGAGCAGCGCCCGCTGGAGGCGAATTCGCGGAACATCGTCCCGGGCTACAAGGGCAAGCAGTTGCTCGCGGGCGAGCTGCAGACGAACGCACCGACGCTCGCGAACGCGGCCGCGGCGGCGATCGCCCAGGAAGCTGCCGGCCAGCCTGGCTGGAGCCTCGAGCAGGGCGACGTAGATTCGGCATTCTCTGAATGAGAGATCTCGGCAACCCTAGGCGCGTGACGCGGCGCGTGCACTTCCGTGTTCCCAAGGGCGGCACACCTGCGGTGCCGGAGCTGGGATAGCCATTCGCCCCAGAAGGGGCTGTCCTGAAGGCGAAGAAGAGCATCTACGGGTTCAACGATGCACCCCTGTTGTGGCGCGAGGCGCATCGCGATCCCTTCCTGTCGCTCCCCGGGGCTTCGAGATCCAAGCTGTGCTTGGCCCTCTTCATCTTCCACGACGGGGGGGGGGAGCTAATCGGCCTGATCGGAGCGCGCGTCGACAATGACCTCGTCGCGGGATCGCCCGAGTTCTTCGCGAACCAGGTGGCCAAGCTGAGGAAGGTGCACTGCTGCGGTAAAAGGCAGACGGCGAAGACCGGCTTCCACCACTGCGGGCGCTTCCTCAAGCAGAACGACGACGGCGCGATCAAATGCAGCCAGAAGGAGTGCACGGAGAGCATCGAGAAGATACCCATCTCGGCCGAGCGTCTCAAGACCAAGGAGGCAAAGGCCGCGGCGGAGGAAAAGGCTATGCTCCACAGTGGCAACGGCCAGATTCAGTGGCTGGTCCGTTCTAAGAAGATGGATTTGGCGTCCCGGCTGGTGGAGAGCCAGGCTCGGGATCGCGACAGTGACTTGAAGGTGCAAGACCTGATAAACTTCAACAAGCTCATGAGCGACGCCAAGACCGACCACGTGGAAGCTGGACATGGACAACAATGGGGGACTCGAGCCACGGGAACATGGGCAGCGCGAAGACCGCTAGCCAAGCTGGCCTGGTCATCTTGCTCGTGGACAACACTGACGATCAGTTCCTGCGTGGGCAGCCTGCTAAGGTTACCCCGATGTTGTGGCGATCGCATCGCATCAAGCGAGTGGTACGGAGTACACTGGCAGCCGAGACGATGGCAGCGCTGGAAGCAGTCGAGAATGGCGACGTGCTGAGACAGCACCTGGTGGAAGCGCACCACGGGCTGGGCTACCGGGCCCACATGGACGACGGACAGGCGATCAAGTTGGTGGAGGTCACGGACTGCAAGTCGCTCTACGACCTGCTGCAGAAGCGAGGGGCGGTCCCGTCCGAGAAGCGGCTGCTCATCGACATCGAGTCGCTCATGAACGACACAGAGTTCAACAACGTGGTGAGTAAGTGGGTAAACACCAAGCAGATGCTCACCGACTGTCTTACCAAGCAAGACGTCCGCGCGGGCGACTACATGAGGTATGTGCTCCGGGCGGGCGAGTACCGGTTGACGGAGGACCCCATGGCAGAGCAGGTGATCTCCGAGCAACGGATGGAGCTGAAGGGTCGCAGGGGCGAGTACTATCGCTCGAAGTAATCCTCGTCGGCATCGGCCTGCCGACCAGCCCTTCGTGCGGGAAGGCTATGCATACTTCGAGGACAGCATCGCGGATTTGAGGTACAATGCGCGTGCAGCTCGACCGGCGCTCAAGCACTACCTCCGTTGGCGGATGATGCTGGGCCAGCGCGAGGACGACATCTACTACGAGAAGCTTGAGGACATGGTCGATAGGTCGGGACTGGACCAGGTGGCGAAGCGTCGGATCATTCCGACCCATGAGCGCAAGCTGCTGACGATATACGCACCGACCAAGGAGGCTCTCGAACGCTACGAGAAAGACTTCACGGAGAAGCATAACTTGAAGGAGACGGACACGACCAACGACATCGAGCACCACGAGGACGCGAACGTGATTTCGGACGAGAACCAGAACACGGACGATACGGCGGATCTGGACGTGAAGGAGATCTACATGATGGACGCCGCGGGTGCCGAGACCGAGGAGATCGGAGAAGGCGCCGCTGGAGCTGGTGCTACGCTGGTGGTGTGCGCGGTGTCGGATGGCGGTGGACCCATGCGAATGTCAGCCGAGGACCCGCAAGAAGGCCAACCACGACACCCCTGTTCCGAATGATGGTGATGAATGGGTCGAGATTCCCGGCCAGACCGAGCAGTCCGGAGGATCGACCACCAGGAAGAAGACGACGGAGTTACCGATGGACAAGGCTCGCAGACTGCATGAGCGTTTGAGGCACGCATCCTACAAGCAGGTGGATCACGACCTGGGCGACGTACTGGAGGAATATATCCTAGAGGCATACCGGCGTGGTCGCCGGATGCAACAAGTGCCGCAGGGCTAATCACGACACAGAGGACATCCCGAAAGGCAAAGGCAGCGAGAGAGGAAAGGGCAAGCTCAGGCCTTCAAGCCGAGCTGGCCCAGGCGAGTGTGTGCGTCCAGCAGATCAGCCCTCGACTGTGGGCACCGACCAGTGCAAGGAGACGGTGCGCTGCCGCCTCTGCGACACGCTGCTCGTGGACAGAGACACGAAGCGGAGGTCCGAGGAAAAGGAGCTGCGTGCGGAGGTCGAGGCGATCCGCCTCGAGAGGCAGAAGCAGGAACTCCTGGGCCGTGCCAGGGCACCGACGGCCAGACAGATTCCTCGACGGGATGAGACTGTATGCTGCAGTCGCTCGTGAGTGAGCGGCATTTCCATCTCCATACATATTTCCTTTCGTTGTTGCTGAACCGGGCCAGCATCGGCGGCTCGCATTTCTCTTTTTCGTTGTTGAATTGAGCCAGCGTCGGCCCGCAGGCACGCGTGGTCAGAGAAAAGAAAATGAATTTGAATTGTGGGGGTCATTACCCGTTTTCCCCTGTTTCACTGGACTGACGCGCTTACCTGTAGCGCCGGCGTTTGGGCCCAAGCAAAAGGAGCGCCCGTCCCCCAGAGCAGTTGCAGCGGGAGACAGACAGCGATAGCGAGGTTTCGGTCGATTCGATCGACTTCTCCGAGCTTTGACTCCTACGACACGCTGAGGGTGATCGGAGGAGAGAGCACGAGCGAGAACGAGGGCGCTCGAAATTCTTTCTTGTGGTCAAGGTTAAAGCAGGTTGGAGCATCATAACGCAAGACCCTTCCGAGGGCCACATTGCCACAGGAACGTAAGAAGGAATGGGTGGCGAAGCTCAGGACACGAGGGTGCCCTCGATTTGGCAGGGTCGGCCTGCGAATCAGTCTCGTCTGTACCTACTAAGCCACCCCAGCCCAACCCGAAGACCCGAATCTCGCCCGAATTTCGGGCTGGAGAGGCGTAAGGGCTTCACACTTGTTTTTTCAATGTGCCCCGCCCCCCCCGCTGGCAGTGGAGGGCAAATCGGGGCCTTCGGGTCAGGTTGGGGTGGTTTGGTGGGCGGTGGCGTCCTTCGCAAGGTCGGCCAAGCACACGCTCAGCGTTTTCGCCCCGTCCACAACAAAATTTGCGACGGAAGCGGTCGGACCGACGGGCCGAAGCAGCGTTTTGGCACAACTCCGAAGGCGCGATTGACAAAAAATCCACGAGATCGCCCACGAAAACGCTCCGGTCGACCCCTGCTCCTCCTCCTCCTCCTCCTCCTCCTCCTCCTCCTCCTCCTCTTCCTTCTCCTCCTCCTCCTCCTCCTCCTCCTTCTGGCAGGAGGGCCCAAAATCGCATCCACAAGTCTGACCAGCGGTCGACATTGATCGGACCGGCCGACATCCGCAGCCACCTCGGGAGAAGTCGAATCGGCGGCAATCGGCAGGCCAGCAGGGCCTGCGTAGATCCAAACTTTGGAGTGTCCCGCAGCGGTGCGGCGACAGACCGTGCGGTGACCTCGGAACTCCAAGAGACCTCACCGCACGGTCCGTCACCGCACGGTCTTGGGGCCCTAGAGGCCCCTGTCGCCCGAGACATCCTCGGAGAGGGACCCGAGTCCCAAACCCGTGCGGTGACCCCGAATCCCCGCCGACTCACCGCACGGTGTGGTCACCGCCCCGTCTGGGGGCCCCCGACATGTATCCAAATCGGAGCCCGAAAACACATCGGATCGGCACCGGCATCGGGATCGGAATCTGAGCGCAGCGAGCCGGAGGAGGCGGAGCGAGCCCTGCCTTCTGGTCGCGCCGCCAGCACTTGATGGCCACCGCGGAGGCCACGAAGTCGCCCACGGGGAGGTGCTGCTTCGGCTCGTCCGCGGCTGGGCGCATGCGCGTGAGGACCTGCTCCCAGACGGAGCCTGCCCGCGGCATCTCGACCTCGGAGAGCAGGAAGCGGCACGCCCGCTGGCGCCAAGGCGGGCCCCCTGGCCCGTGGCCGCCTCCCGGGGGCCTCCTGTTGGCACGCCCGGGCTGGGGGTGGGGAGGGCGGATACCGATGCCCAGCAGCGGCGCCTGTTCACGTGGGGCAGGAGCCTCACGACAGTGGACACCCTAACAGCCCTATCACCGAACTGAGGATGTGTGTTTAGAATGTGGGGAACATGTACTGAGAATGCTTTAAGCATGGCTTGCTTACATGTTCAAAACAGTTTTAAAGCATGTTCTAGACACCTGGAAAGTATTTGGCAACATGCTTCCTCTCCATGGATCGTCCTCCACAAGGGAGGACGAGGAGGGCGAGGAGGAGGAGGAGGAGGAAGAGGAGGAGGAGGAGGAAGAGGAGGAGGAGGAGGAGGAGGAGGAGGAGGAGGTGGCGGTCCTCCGAGAACCTCGTGAAGGCAACTCTGGGCAATGCCACGGCGGTGCGCGCCCGGGTGAGCCACAGGTGGCGAGGGCTGCGGACCCCTCGGCCAGGTGTTTTTGAAGGGGCCCCAGGACACACACACAAGTAAATACACACATAAAAATATTCCCCCATAGTTTCCCATATTTTCTGTGTTTTTTCCTCCCCCCCCACTTCCCATATTTTCCCATATTTTCTAAGGAATCGACGATTCATTGTGTCTGTGTTTTTTTTCCTCCTGAGTCTTGGCCGAGTGGGCTCCGAAGGACAGCCCGTCTTGTCACAACTGAACAGGCAGTGCTGCTCGGCATCGCACCTACATTTCGGGGAGCGCAGCCTGACATAAACATAACAACTCGGGAATCCGCGCGGATTTCTTGGATCTGCGCTGGACCCCCCTCCCTGGCGCGCGGAGCGCGCCAGGGGCGGCGCTGGAGGCGCCGCCAGGGGGCCCAAGCGCGGATCCGAGAAATCCGCGCGGACCTCTAAATTTTTATGTTTATGTCATTCTTCGGTCCCCTAAATATTTTCCGTGCGTGCAGATCCTGGGAGGCCCCCGTCGCCACCGCCGGATTCGCCTCGAAATCTCGGTCGGAGCACACCCCGGGGGGAGGCCCATGAGCAGCGGCACCCCGACTTCGGATCCGCCGGACTCTGGGCGACCTCGCAGGTTTGGGCGGGAAACTAAGCCCTACTTTTCAAGCTTCCTTGATGCCGATTTCCACCCCATGTTTGCCGTCGCTGTCTCCGCTATGTATGTGTATATATATATATACATATACATATACATTTACATACATATATATATACATCCATACACATTTATATATACACATACATATGTGAGTGTGTATATATATATATATATATAAGACTGCATTGGCGCCTCGCGCCATGCAGACAGGAAGGCAGTAAGGTAAAACGGAAGTTTAGCGACAACTCATTGTTGCCTTTTCTGGCATCGTCGTTGTAGTCATGTACTCTATATATACACCGACGCTTTTTCCGACCCTGCGCTGAAATCCGCACAGAAACGCGGATCCTGGTGTATACGGGATCCTGGTGTGTACATGTTTCGTTGTTTCCCTTGGAGAACGGGGGAAAAGTATACGCCACACAACCCCGACGTCGTCCCCGACCCTCACAGAGTCATGGTATTGAACAAACAAACCGCCACTGGTAATGTATATGTTCCAGCTTCCGATGCATTCGTTATCCTTTCCTCATGCTTCCTTTTCCCCTTTCTCATTCTCGCCCTACCCTGCGAATTCGCCACCATGCGCAGCTCTTTTTGTGGAGTCTCATCCTAGGAGAGCCTGTTGTAAGTCTCACGAAGATTTTTAAGGGCTTGTTGGGGCCTTCTGGAAGACTCCTGGGTTCCTTCTGGGGGCCACTGAGACCTTCACTGAGAGCTTCCCTGGGCCACCCGACCGGGTCACGATTTGGAATGATTCGGGAGGCGTCTTGGGGCCATCTTGGGCCGTCATGGGGCTCTCTTCGGGTCATCTTGGGGCCCTGTTGGGCCGTCTTGGGGCTCCTCTTGGACTGCCTGGAAGCCCTCTTTAAATTTGGGGCCACGCTCTGACCTCCTGGGCAGTCTCGGACGCCCGGAAGATTCTGGAGGACCGAAGAGATTGAGCATTCCCAGAATCATGCCAAAACCATGGGGAATCATTGTTTTGTACGTTTCGATCTGCCTCTTGGGGGTCTTCCTTGGGTCGTTTTGGGCTTCTGGGGGGTGTCCGGGGCCTACGTGGGCTCTCGCGGGGCCGTCCGGCCGCCCTCCTGACCGATTCGGGCCGCCTGCCTGTAGGCCCAGCAGGGGCTTCGGGAGCCCCGGAGTGCAGGGGACCGTCTGCAAAGGCATCCAGAGACCCCCGGCCCAAAATCCAGAGGGGTCCCGTTTAGGGGGGGGGGGTCGCAGATTCCCCGATTATAAGGATATAGAGAAGGGGATAGATACTCTTGCGGAAACGTCCGCCCTGCCTTTCCGGGGCAGAACTTTCCGCCCCACGCCTTTGTCCGCATCGTCTGTGCTGCACTCCCGACACAATTTGAAACTGGAAGACCAACCCAAATACGGCGGATCCTCTGGACGCCCGGCATGGGTACGGCAAAAACTGGTACGACGCCCAACAGCACATGTTGCCCAACACCGACAGCGGCCGCTGCTGTGCAACCGCATCTCGGTCTGCACTGGACAATCTCCGCGGCGCCACCAGCAGCGAGTCCTCTTCCAGCATGAACAAGAACAGCTACTGTTAGGTCGGGCCTGTCCCCCTACAGGCGAATTTTGGACGAAAAGTAAAACATATATAACACATACCCACAAATAATCGAACATTGACAAAACATAGTCGCCATACTATGTTTGGACTATTCTTGAACATTCCTCCTGTAGAGGGACAGGCCCGACTTAAGAGCTGCTGTCGGCCTTCGTGCCCGCTCTCCCCGTACCCCTTACCGCTCCTGCCGCGATAGATCCGAATAACTAGGGGGCCACATGCGAACCCTACCCCTACCCCCACCACTTCTGAGGGGGAGGGTGGGGTAAGCTTCGCATGTGGCCCCCTCATAACACCACGGCATCTGCCTTTTTGTTTGGTCTCCCCGCGGCCGGTAGCGCCGCGGCCACTCCCGCCGTGGCCGCCACGAGGTCGGCCCACCTTGCCGTCGCTCGGACGTCCATTTCCCGTGCATGTTTCGGCTTCGTGCGTGTTTTTTTCAAAACCATCCTGTGGTGTTGGGTCCTCGTCTTGAAAAGACGGTGCCCCGCGTCTCCTCCCGCTGCACCCTCCCTCCTCCCTCCTCCCCCTCTTTGCCTCTGCTCTCGGCACACCCCTCACACGTTTCGTAGCCTCATAGGGAGCTCCACCGAAGGCCCCAGTGGTTGCTCTCGCATGCGTTTCCCCCACCGTGGGCAGCGTTTCGTGGCCCCATAAGGAGCTCCACCGAAGGCCCCAGTGGCTGCTCTCGCATGCGGTCCCCCCCACCCAGGGCAGCGTTTCGTGGCCCCATAGGGAGCCCCTCCGAAAGCGGCACCCACAACGCGTTACGAACAATTGCCTATGGTTGGGTCCTTCGCCAAGATATTTTTTTTTGCTCGATGGTCCAGGATGGTCCTCGATGGTCCTCGCCGAGAAAGACTGCACACGTCCGAGCGAGGCCCCTGCCACCGCAGCTCGCCGCCGGCGGCGCGAAACTGCGCCGTCGCGGCGGGCGAGGCCGTGGGCGCCTCCGGGCGCGGCAGCGCGGCGGCCCAGTGCATGAGGAGCTGCGTGGCGTCGCCGAAGACCCGGAGGGAGAAGGGGCACACCAGGCCCGCCTCGCGGGGGGCGGGGGCCGACGACGCAGGCAGTGACTGCCTGCCAGACCACCCCAACCCAGCCCGAAGACCCGAACTTCGGGTTGGGGGGGGGGGTACGGGTTCCACGCGCGTTTTCTCGATGTTTCCCGATTCCCCCCTACTAGAAATCGAGGGTTAATCTGAGCCTTCGGGTTGGGTTGGGGTGGTTTGGTGGGTGGTGAGGCAGGGCGCTGCCCCAGAGATCCAACGCATTGAAACAGAATCGAGGCGGAGGCTCTGCGCACTTGTCGGCCTCGAGGGGCCCTCGTCGGGCTTCGGGGCCGTCCAGAGAGGCCTCGGGATGGAAAGCCGGTCCTGGGGAACGGGTCGAGACTTCCAGGGACCCCGCATTGAAAAAATCACGGCGTCGGATCTCTGGGTCGAGTAGGGGAGATCGCCTGCAGCATTGCTTTACCCCAAGGTCGATGTGGTCGTCGCATCCACGAGAACATAATTACGTGGCTTGTTCGCAGATGCACGAGCACTCTGCGTGCGACTCGGCGAGAAGATCAGTTCTGGGGTAGAACGATTCTGCAGTCGATGCCCCACTCGACAGCTTTCAGCCGTCCGTGCGGCATTCTTGCATCGGCGCTGGGCGCCCGTGGTGGCGCCTCGGGCGCCGCCCCTGGCGCGCCATGGCGCGCCAGGGAGGGGGGTCCGGCGCCGATCCAAGAGATCCGCGCGGACCTCCGAAACTTGATTTAGGTCGGACATGTCCCCCTACCGGCGGATTTTGGAAGTAAGCTTGACAGTAGTCAACACACAATCCACCTAGTCAAAAGATCACGAAAAATCGCCAACCGACGATTTTCACAGTATTCTTGCAGACTCCTCCTATCGAGGGACATGCCCACCTTCTCACTTGAGCAGGGATCGTCTGTCCCGGCATTCCTGTAGTCCTACCACGAAGTGTTCCTAGAATCCAAACATGCGCTGAGAACAAACGCAGTGCTCTTAGAACACAGACCCGATGTAGTAAGACAAGACAGCCCCAACCATAAATGTTCCATGAACATTTCTCGTGGGAGCCACAAAGAAGCTCCTAGAATATCGTCTGGCAGGGCTATAGGCGAGCCAGGACGCTTCGCCACTGCTCGACTCGCGTGCTTTGCTCCCCGAGCCTCGGCCCCGGGGGGCACGGCGTCGCCCGCCTGACGGGGGCTGGGCCGCCCCTCCCCCTCCCCCCCCGCTGGGCCCCCCCTCCCGCTCCGCCTCTCTCTCTCTCTCTCTTTCTCTTGCAGCGCCCGCCTCTGACGTTGTGGCTGCCACGGCAGTGGGCACCCCAACAGTCCTATCGTTGAACTTTGAGCGTGTTCAAAAGGTCGGAACATATGTTCTGAGCCTGCTTTGAACATGTTTTTGGGGGTTTAGCACATGTTTACCACATGTCTTAGACACCTAGAAATTACAAATTACCTGGCAACATGCTTCCTCTCCCTTGATCGTCCTCCAAAACTCGAACGGGGACTCCGCTGACGGGCACCTCGGCCTGTGGCCCGGCGAACCCAACCCTCCCCGACGTGGGCAACGCTGCAGTGCCAGACGGAGACCCTGAAGAGTGGCAACTTCTGGCCACTCTCCAAGAAGCAGCCGTTAGTGAAGATACTCGTTACGGTGCCGCTGACTCTCTCTCTCTGCCGCGCGCAGGGCCCCACCGTCATAGGCCTCCCTGATGGGGTCGGAGTAGATGGGGTCGGAGGATTGCACCGCATCGGCGAGACATGGGCGATGCATCGGCCACGCACTGGCAACGTCGTCGATACATCCTAGACGTCGGCGTGGAGCAAATTACACCCCACGTCGAGCGGCATCGCCGATGCATCGGCGATGTGGCGCGATCCTCCGGCCCAGACTCTGCTCCGACCCCACCTGGGAGGCCTGGACTCGTGCTCTGCACCTCCTCGCGCCGCCTCGGGCCTCCTCGGCGGGAAGTGCCCGCACGAGGTTGGAAGCAGACAGGACGCCATAAACGAAAACTTTTGGCCCTCCGCGCGGGTTTCTTGGATCCGCGCTGGACCCCCTCCCTGGCGCGCGGAGCGCGCCAGGGGCGGCGCCGGAGGCGCCGCCAGGGGGCCCCATAGCGCAGATCCAAGAAGCCCGCGCGGAGCGCCAAGAGTTTCTGCTGATGTGGTTTGCCGGAGCGTGGGCCGCGCGGGGCCCGACTGGGCCCCGAGCGGCCCACGCTCGGGGCCCAGTCGGGCCATCGCTCGTACGTCCATTCCCTTTGTTTTTTTCGGTTTCGTGCGTGGTTTTTTCGCCAAATGACCAAGGATGCTCCCCGATGGTCCTCGCCGAAGGAAAAATGCACACGTCCGAGCGATGCCAAGTTGGGGGGGGGCTGCGTGAGCACGTGGCCGCGCTCTCCGCATGGAGTCTTTCGGCCCACGGCGAGGGAGCGCCAGCGCGTGTGCCCCCTCCAGGGCGGAAGCACAGGGTACCGATACCGCTGCTCCCCGGACCTCTCCTGGGGTTATGTAGCTCCCACCGCACTGAAGGACCACATCACAGAAATCACTTCGAGCACCCAGAACAGTGTCAAAACAGTGTCGAAACAGTGTCGGGCGAGTGTCTCCCAGGGCCCGGCACGTGAAGACCCTCGAGTTTCGGTACTTTTTATTGGTGCTCGAAGTTCTTTCTGGTAATCAAGGCTGAAGTACGCGTTGGACCATCATAATCCTGTTCTGACCAGAATTTTGGGGCGAATCCAGCGGTGGCGCTGAGGGCCTCCCAGGAGGCCCACAAAGGGGAAAGCGGGGAGAGGGGTAGCGGTATGGGTACCTTTTCCTCCTCTGACTCCGCTTCGGCCCCCTGCTGCCCAGGCTCCCGAAGAGGGGGGTCCAAGGCGGCGAGGGTGAGCAACAGCTGACGATCAAAAACGTGTCTTACGCGAGATGACGCAGCGACCTTACGCGGTGGCTTACGCGGGCCGCCGCCGTGGCACGCTGCATAGGAGACGAGGGCGCCTACGCGCGATCTTACAGCTTACGCGCCAATGTCGAAGCAGATGACTCCCTTTTTTGCGTTGCTCACCTGCGTTCCCAGACCCCCGACGCGATGATTTTTTTATGGCGTCGGCCCCCAAGGGTCTCGACCCATTCCCTCGGACCGGCTTTTCGTCCTGAGGTGTTTTTTGACGGTCCCGCGGCCCGGTGAGGGCCCCCAGGGGCCGAAAAGAGCGAAAAACATCGCATCGTGCATGCAAATCAGAGCTTGCCTCTGTAGGGGTCCTTGCGGATTCATGTAGTTAGATGAGGTATGGCGCCGATTTCGGCGGCACGCCCGGGTGCCCGGGTGGCTGGGTGCCCGGGTGCCTGGGTGCCCGGGTGCCCGGTAGCCCCATGGCCCTATAGCCTTAAAGCCTTATAGCCCCACAGCCCTACAGCCCTACAGTCCGATAGCCCTAATAGACCTATAGCCATAACGCCCTGTAGCCCTATAGCCCTATAGCCCTACAGGCCTATAGCCTTATGGCTTTATAACCTTATAATAGCCCTATGGCCCCATGGCCCTATAGCCCTAAAGCCCGGCAGCCCTATAGCCCTACAGCCCAATAGCCCTGTAGCCCCAAAGCCCCAGAGCCCTATAGCCTTATAGCCCCATAACCCTTTAGCCCTCAAAAGGTTATGATTGGGTTCTTTCTCCGGTGCCATTCTATTACGACGCGATCATGTCTGGGTTTAGGTCGGGCCTGTCCGCCTACAGGGGGATCTTGGGCGAAAAATTAAACATACTCAGAACAAAACTCCCACTATGCTCCAACATAATAATAAAAACAACAATCGTCCCCAGACTATTGCTTGAATATCTTTGCACATTCCTCCTGTCGAGGGGCAGGCCCGACGTAAGTCTGGGTGTACGTCGGATCTCTAGGGGTCTGACCATTGGAGCTCCCCCCCCCCAGCGGGCCTGGCGCCTGGCTCGCCACCAGGCCTGGACCTTCGGCGCCACCTGCGTGCGGTAGTCGCCCTGCGCGGCCTCTGTGCCGCTGGGCGCGCCCGCGCGGAGCATCCCCAGGAGCGCCCCGCCCACCGTGGTCGGCTCTGCCTTGGGCATCTCCTCACAGTGCGGGCGCGGCCGCAAGTAACCTTCGCAAGAAACCCAGCCCCGAGCACCCGTGTGCGAGGTGCACCCGAGGGGAAACCCGGAGCACCCTGAGCGCAGCAGCTCCTTCAGCGGCTGCGGGAAGTAACCGCGCAGCGCGAGGAGCGAAGAAACCCAGGATACCCTGACGAAAAGCATACGGTTTCTTGACGCCTTGACGCGCGCCCCCACTGTCTGGGACGCACAGAGACATACTAATACTATATGTCCTCCTTGGAGGCGCGCGTCGGACCCGAACATATCATATATACACACCTTGTAGAAAATCGTTTCCCGAGCGGTGTGGCCAGAACGCGCCCCTCACGACGCATACACTATGCGATTTCTCGGTGCGCGCGTCGCCCCCAGGGGGGGGGGGGGGGGGGGGCGACGCACACATAGTACAAGTATGTTGGGGTGACGCCGATCCTACAACGGAGCTACCCTGAGATCCGATGTTGCAGAACAGTTTCGGGGGCCCCAAAACGGGGTGGTAACCACACCGTGTGGTGAGTCGGTGGGGATTCGGGGTCACAGCACGGTTTTCGGACTCGTGTCGTTCTCCGAGGATGTCTCGGGCGACTGGGGCCTCCAAGGTCCCAAGAACGTGCGGTGACGGACCGTGCGGTGCGGTTTCCTGGGGTTCCGAGGTCACCGCACGGCCTGTCACCACACTGTTTTGGGATCCCCAACACGTGCAACCCTTCAAAAAACCACGATCAGAGCCCCAGACCTCATCTTCCTGCGTCATTTCTGCGGGCAAGATCGCTGTGTGAGGGTCCCGGGCCCCGAGAGCGCCCGCTGCGAACAAAAGTCGCAGCGCCAGGATCTCAGGGTAGGACTAAGGCGAAATCGGACCAGGGATTAGGTCGGGCCTGTCCTCCCACAGCGGACTTCGGAAGAATCGATCCACATTTGCCAGAACAGATGCAAAATAACTGTCGAAACATAATCGAAACATAATAAAGAATCCCCTGCCTATTTTCTAAACTATTCTTGAACACTCCTCCTGCAGAGGGACCTGCCCGACTCAAGACTGGAACGACATCGGACCAGGACACCTCGCGCACCTCGAAAACAAACCCGTCCCCAGCCTATAGCTAACCTATTCTCGAACACTCCTCCTGCAGAGTGACGTGCCCGACTCAAGACTGGAACGACATCGGACCAGGACGCCTCGCGCACCTCGAAAACAAACCGTCCCCAGCCTATAGCTAACCTATTCTTGAACATTCCTCCTGCAGAGGGACGGGCTGGGCGAAAAGCAAAGGGGGGGTTTGATAATCAGCTCACGCAACTGATTTTCCCAGCGCCTCCCAGCTCCGGGAGGCGCTTATGCATCGAAGAATGGGCCCGGCGGCGGGGCCGAAACCAGCTGCGTGCAGCAGACTTCGTAACCCCCCTCTCCCTATCGCCCCCTCTTCTTTCGGCCCGAGAGGGACACGCGCCCGACTCAGAAGACTGGAGCGACCTCGGACCAGGACGCCTCGCGCACGCTCGGAGACCGAGCGGCTCCGTGGAGGATGCCCCGGGCGCCGCGGCCGCTCCCGAGCGCGCCCGGAGGCGCCCCCCGGAAACGACTATAGGTCGGGCGTGTCCTCGTACAGGCGGGTTCCCAGAGATCCGACGTCGTGCTTTTTTTCATGCGCGGTCTCCTCATGGGAATCACAGAGACATGCTAATGCTACATGTCCTCCTTGGAGGTGCGCGTCCGACCCGAACACGTAGTATACCCATCTTGTAATATATCGTTTCCCGAGCGGTGTGGCCAGAACGCGCCAGCCACGACGCATATACTATACGATTTCTCGGTGCGCGCGTCGCCCCCGGGGGGGGGGCGACGCACACATATTATAAGTATGCTGGGGTGACGCCGATCCCAGGAACTCTCGACCCATTCCCCGAGACCGGTTTCTCATCCTGAATAATTTTTGTCACGGTCCCAGGGCCCGGCGAAGGCCTCTCGAGGCCGAAAAATAAGAAAAAACGCCGTCTTGATATTTTCAATGCGAAGGATAGTTTAAAGTATCCCCCCAAATATTCAAAACATATAACAGAATACAACAAATCGTACCCATACGATTTTGGGTCTATCTTTGAATGCTCCTCCAGTAAAGGGACAAGCCCGACTTGACGGAACGATTTCTTATCCCGGCCCCGGCCCCGCCCGATCTCCTCCTCGGGGGCCTTCGCCGGCCTCCAGGTCTGCTTCTGTCTCGAGGAGCAGAAGGCGCCATGAGCACAAACGCTCGAAGCTCCGCCCGGTCTTATCGGATCGGCGCTGGCTGCCCCCCTCCCTTTCTGGCGCGCGGAGTGCGCCAGGTGCGGCGCTGGAGGCGCCGCCGGGGGGGCCTCGCGCAGATCCAAGAAGTCTGCGCGGAGCTCCGAACATTTCTGAGCCTGCCCTTCTCTTGCTCGTCGATTCTGCCCGGCGGGGTGCTGGTAAGAGCTGGCGGCGCCAGCGTCCCCGTAGTTTCGGGGGCATGCTGAGAAGAGGTCTTCCTCGTTCTCGCCGTCGCCGCCTTCTCCGTCGCTGAAAGCGTCGTTCCATGTCTGGCCCCGGGCCGACGCGCCCTTCTCGATCTCCTGGGCGAGCCGGTCCGCCTTCCTGCGCATCTCGGGGGTGATCTTGTCCTTGCGCAGGGGCGTGGTGTACTGCGACAGGTCATCCTTGAACGTCGAGACGACGCCGAAGAGCTCGTAGTTGACCTTGAAATATGTTGCTCCCATCGTAATTAGGGACCACATCCTAGAAATAGCTTCGAGCACCCAGAACCGTGTCGAGACAGCGTCGAGACAGTGTCGGAGGAGCGTCTCCTGGGGCCCGACACGCGGAAACCCTCGAGTTTCGGTACTTTGCTCGATTTTTTCTGGTGAATCAGGCTAAAGGTAGGTTGGAACATCCTAGACCTTGAACTGGTCCCACTTCCCCGCGTCGCCCTGCTGCCCCTGGCGGCTGAGCCTCGACGACTTCTCTAGCTCCAGGAGCCCGCCCTCTGCAGGGGCGCTGCTGTCCTAGAAGCAGAAAAACAACAAACGACATTGAGTCGGAGGTGAGGGGATGAGATCGAAGTGGAACGGAGAGCCCCCCTACCGGGAAATCGATTTCGGTTTCGTGTTCGTGCGTGCCGTGCGGGCGAGGCGAAGCTGCGTGGGCGGGCGAGAGAAAGTCTCCTGTGGCTGAAGCGCGGCCGGACCAAATGTCTCCCTTCCGGGCGGCCGGGGGCCCGCGGTGTCCCGCCGGTGTCCCGCTGGTGTCCCGTGTGGCTGAGGCGCGGCCGGACCAAATGTCTCCCTTCCGGGCGGCCGGGGGCCCGCGGTGTCCCGCCGGTGTCCCGCTGGTGTCCCGTGTGGCTGAGGCGCGGCCGGACCAAATGTCTCCCTTCCGGGCGGCCGGGGCCCGCGGTGTCCCGCCGGTGTCCCGCGGTGTCCCCGGTGTCCGATGATGATGATGATGATGATGATGATGATGATGATGATGATGATGATGATGATGATGATGATGATGATGATGATGATGATGATGATGATGATGATGATGATGATGATGATGTTGATGATGATGGTGAGTTCGGTAGTGAGATCGATAGTGAGACCGAATGTGAGATCGATTGTGAGACCGTTTGTGATATCGATAGTGAGATCGATAGTGAGAGCGACTGTGAGATCGATAGTGAGACCGATTGTAAAATCCGATAGTGAGATCGATAGTGAGACCGAATGTGAGATCGATTGTGAGATTGATTGTGTTATCGATAGTGAGACCGAACGAGAGATCGATAATGACTTCGATACTGAATTCGATAGTGATATCGATAGTCGGATCGACTGTGAGATCGATTGTGAGATCGGTTGTGATATCGATAGTGAGATCGATAGTGAGACCGAATGTGGGATCGGTTGTGAGATCGGTAGTGAGATCGATTGTGAGATCGATCGAATGAGACCGATAGTGATATCGATAGTGAGATTGTCAGTGAGACCGAATGTGAGATCGATTGTGAGACCGATTGTGATATCGATAGTGAGGTCGATAGTGAGACCGAATGTGAGATCGATTGTGAGATCTATAGTGAGATTGATTGTGAGATCGATAGCCAGATCGATTGTGAGATCGATCGAATGAGATCGATAATGAGACCGATAGTGAGATCGATAGTGAGATCGATCGAGTGCAACGGTGGTCCCTCCCCCCCTCACCTCCTTATCACCCGAAAGGTGGTCTATGCGGTATGGTTTAACCGATCCCCATCCCCAGCGGCACGGCCTGGGCCCCGCTGGCCGATGTACCCTCCTAGGTCGGGGTAGAGGTCGCTCTCTTCGGGTTTCGAGGGGTGCATCCCCAACTGGGGTGGCAATTTGGTGGGGGTCTCGAAGGGGATGGAGATGGGGAGTGGGATCGGTTAAAAGATGCCGAGACACAAAGCCGATGACGGAAAGGGGGCCCAGCGCGGATCCAAGAAATCCGCGCGGAGCGCGGCAAATTTATGTTCGTGTAATTTGTTTCTTCTTCTCACTGCACCGGCCTTGCAGACGTGCCGCAGCGGATTCTTGCGTGGATTTCTGCCAACGGAAAACCCCGAAACGGCGAGCGAAAAAATGGATTTGTTGTAGTCTTCACCCCTGGCCCCCAAAAAGCACACGCGAAACTCACTTCGAAATCCGGGAATTGTCCTTCACACTCCAGGCTCATCCCATTGTTTTCCGAGCGACCAGGAGGGGGGCATCCAAGAGGGGGGGCACAAATCATGGCCAGCGGCATGTGCGCGGCCCAGGGGGGGGGGCCGGGGGCGTAATGAGGCGCCACGGAATCTGGGGAACTATTTTGGCCCACGTCATGATATCCCTCCCCTTACTCATCACCGCCGTTCCCGATCCCCCCAGAGATCTGACGCAATGATTTTTTCAATTCGGGGTCCCCGGAACTCTCGACAGGACCGGTTTTTCATTCTGGATCCTGTTTTGACGGCCCCGGGGCCTGGCGAGGGCCCTCCGAGGCCGAAAATTGCGAAAGATCTCCGTCTTGATTTTTTCAATGCATTGGATCTCTGGGTTGAAGTCGGGCCTGTCCCCCTACAGGGAGACTATTCAAAAATAATTATTCACTGCGTGGAGCTCCCCATATGTGCATATATTCGCATGGACCTGTCCGCCGTGAATGTCTAGGCGCAAGAGCTTTCGAATATAAACGGGCTTCAGTTGTGACGGTCTGGACATGAATCTAACTGCGAATGAATTAGAGTGTGAATGAGCCTCAGTAGTACGAGCGCGTCTCTGCGCATGAGCCTGGGGCCTCCTGGCGCCACCTAGGGTCTCCTGAAACCTACTAGGGCTTCCTGGGGTCTCCAGGAGCCTCTTGGGGCCTCCTGGGACCTCCTAGGGAGGTTTCGTGCCCCAGGAGAGGCCCAATCTATAGCAACAGACGTACGCAAAACATTGCGTATGAGAGCCACAGGAGAAGGGCAATCTATAGGAACACATGTAAAACACCAAGGACTCGTGCCCCAGGAGAGGCCCAATCTATAGGAACATATATATATATATATATGTATATACATATATAACATTTAGGAGTTTGTGCAGAGGAGAAGGACAATCTATAGAAACATACGTATAACATCAAGGAATCGTGCTCCAGGTGAGGCCCAATCGATAGGAGCATACGTAAACACACATGGGATTGGAGCCACTCCTGTTGCCTTCTGGGGCCTCCTGCTCCTGTGGCCTCTCGGGGCCTCCTGTTGCCTTCCGAGGCCTCCTGGCGCTTCCTGTGGCCTCCTGGGGCCTCCTGTGCCTTCCTGAGGCCTTCTGGAGCTTCCTGGGGCCTCCTGGAGCCTCTTGGGACATCCTCTGGCCTCTTGAGTCTTTCTGTGGCCTCCTGATGCCTCCTGGGACCTCATGTGGTCTCCTGGGGCCTCCTGGAGCATGTTGGAGCCTCCTGTGGCATCCTGAAAAAAATCTGCGCCCACGAGCCTGGCCACCAAAACAGGCAAACCGATCGAGACATCCTTGCACCAGCAATATATTACCATATCCGGTGCTGGTGGGGATTCCCCCCGACAACTCCCCGAGCAGCAGGACTGATTGCCTCCATGGCATGGATGCGCGAAAAGACTGGAGCTGTTAAAACAAAGGGCCAGCAATACGTGGCCGTGCAGGAGTCCCATCGTCCACATTCCAGATGGAGGTCCCCAGCAAAGGGGTGGAATGTCTGAGTACACCACGACCGCCGCCGTTCAGAGTCGCCGAGATTGACGATCCCGAACCTTCGAGCTGCCTTGTCTTGCCTTTCGATGCGCCTTGACATCATCTGCTCCACGCCCGCGACGCCGCGGACCATCTGGGGCGCCGCCCAACGAACCAGAACGCCAGGCCAGAGTGCGAGCTCTCACAGGCGACCCCACCCAGGCAGCCAGCAGTGGATATGGATAAAAACGAAGGGAAGACCCCCCAACAAATATCCATATCCACTACTGCGGCCAAAAAATCCCACAGGCGGCGATGGCCTGCGAGCCCCCACCACGGTGCCCGCAACACCGAATATGCACATCCAGACCCCGGTCTGAACCCTCAAACGGGTGGCCCAGGAGCTGAGGCCAAGGGCCTCAACGCAGAACGCGAGCACATAGGACTAAATACATGTGACGCGCAATGTACCATCAGAACCATTTGCGTCACCAGGCTGTTGCTCTCGCTTCCTCGCGTGACAACGTCGACCTGACTTGCTTCCACGGCCCACTCGCAGTTGAAGGCGATGGCGTGCAAAATCTGTTCTCATACGAATATGGGATTTAAGCTTCTGCGTCGGATCCGCCAACAGAAAGCCCCTACCCCGAAAAATGAGATCAGTGGCGGTAGTGGTCACACATCAGCGGTGGAATCCTCAAAATCTGGCCCACCTGGGGGGTGAAAATGAGCGCCTCGCTCGAGACATCCTCCAAATCTGCTCCGACAGCGAAGGATGCTGGGACAGAAAACAGGCAAACCGCTCGAGACATCCCCACAAAACAGCAGCGAACGGGACCGTGAAAACACCCTGGCGCCCCCCCTTAGGGATGCTGAAACCAGCGCCCCGCCCGAGACATCCTCACAATCTGCTCGGATAGCCAAGGATGTTGGGACAGAAAACAAGCAAACCGCCTGAAGCATCCCCACAAAATTGCTGTGAACGGGACCGTGAAAACACCCCTGGCGGCTCTCTGAGGGGGGCTGAAGCCAGCGCCCCGCCTGAGACATCCTCACAATCTGCTGTGTGTGTGTGCGTGTGTGGAAAATTTGGCAATGAAGAAGTCTGAGTACGAGCAGGTCTGAGTATGAGTATGTCTGGGAGCAAGTCTGAGAATTAGCTAGTCTGGGCATGAGTGGGTCTGAGTACGAGTAGGTCTGAGTATGAGTAAGTTTGTGTCTGAGTAAGTCTGGGTCTGAGTAACTCTGAGCCTGAGTAAGTCTGGGTATGAGGAGGAGAAAAAGGAGAAGAGGGAGAAGAAGGAGTAGGAGGCGTCCAAGTAATAACAAGAACCCCATCTTAGGATATGGGGAATAAAAAATAGTCCGAGGACGATTGTTTTGAGTATTTTTCCCCATCTGGGAGGCATTAGTTCGAATCTTTTTTTTATTTTTCGCCCAACACCCCCACGCCCGACTCAAAACTCTGGCTTCTCCGAGTCCTCCCAGCGCTGCAGCTCCCGGGGCTGCCCGGCCCGCACCTTGCCGGCGCTGATCGCCTCGTCCGTCAGCCACTCCCTGGCGCCCGCGGGGCGGCCGCCCGCCGGGCTGCCTCCTCCGGGCCGGCGCGGCCGACAAGCTAGGCGGCTCGGCAGACACGGGCAGCCAAGTCTTAGGTCGGGCATGCCCTCCTACAGGAAGATCTTCAACCCCAGGGATCCAGCGTATTGAAAAAAAACCTAGACGGAGGTTTTTCACATTTTTCGGCCTCGAGGGGCCCTCGCTGGGCCCCGGGACCGTCAAAAAAGGACACAGGATGCAAAGCCGGTCCTGGGGAATGGGTCGAGACTCCCGGGGACCCCGTATTGAAAAAAACACGACGTCGGATTTCTGGGCTTTCACGAAAACTGGAAAATAGTCTAAGTCTCCCCAAACATGCTTCAAACATGCACGCAAAATCGTCTCCAGACTACTTTGTTGACCGTTTTAGAATATTGCTCCTGTAGAGGGACAGGCCCGACTTAAGTCGGGAGCGAACAAGAGGGGGGTGTCCAAGCGGGGGGGTGCAAATCATGACCGGCGGCATGTGCGTGGCCCAGCGGGGGGGCCAGGGACGTGATGAAATAAGAAGAGGCGCCATGAAACCTGGGGAGATATCATGGCCCCCGCCATGATATCCCCCCCCTAATGCGGGATGACGATTTAAAAAAATGGGAGAGAACGATTCAAAACATAGTTTTCTGCTGTTTCTGCATGATTTTCTGACTGGAAAAGAACTAGCTATTCAAAGCATAGTTTTCCAGCCCGCGGCCGGTTTTTTCTAATCGTCATCCCGGGCGCCGCCGCGTGAACACGACCCCTGGTCATTTATCAATCGTCATCCTCCATTAGGCATCACCCCCCCTCTTCGCCGCCCCCGAAGGGGGAAAGGCCCGACTTACGCCAGGTCGGGAGGAGCCGAATCCGCGGCCGCGGGCAGGCCAGTGCGGCCTCTCAATTGTGGCAGCCGGCCTCCGCAAGATCGGGGCGCGAAGCTGCGCCGGCTCGGCCGGGATCGGGCCAGATCGAGTCGAAGGGGTCGACATGTTGCCTGCCTCCGGCGGCGGCGGCGCCGGCGCCGCGGTGGGCCCCCGCGTGGATTCCCAGAGATCCGACGTCGTGGTTTTTCCAATGCGGGGTCCCCGGAAGGCTCGACCCATTCCCCAGGATCGGCTTTGCATCCTGAGTCGTTTTTTGACGGTCCCGGGGCCCGGCGAGGGCCCCTCGAGGCCGAAAAAGACGAAAAGACTTTTTCAATGCGCTAGACCTCTGGGGATGTCTGTGCGGATTTCTTGGATCGGCAGTGGACCCCCCTCCCTATGGCGCGCGGAGCGCGCCGGGGTGAAGCGATGGAGGCGCCTCCCGCGGGCTCCAACGCCGATGCGAGAACCCTGCGTGGACCTCCAGCAGCTTGCCCAGACCCCCGGACACCGTGCTCTGCTCACAGCGTTGACCCCCAGAGGTCTGGACCCCTTCCCCGGGACCAGTTCTTTATCCCGAGTCGCTTCTTGACGGTCCCGAGGCCCGGTGAGGGCCCCCAAAGGCCGAACATAGCGAGGAGCTTCCTGTCGCGATGTTGTCACGACGCGAGGACGTCTGTGTATGCTTGTGCCTTCTTTTGCTCCCCGATGGCCTCCTCCGGCGGCGGCGGCGGCGCGGGCGCCGCGGTGGGGTGGCGGCGCCTGCGCGGCTGGCGGGCTGCTGGCTTGGCCAGCCGCGCCGCGCGGCGCCGCGGCGTCGGAGGCGGCGGCGCCGTCCTCCAGCGGGGGATGCGTCGACCCCCTGCGGTGAGGGCGCTTCGATAGGGAGCCACTGGGTGAGAGGTCTCGGCAGGGGCACTTCTCGCCGCGCGCGAGGCCAAGCTCGCGATGAAGACTCGGAGGGCGTCGCGCGGCAAGGCGTGCGCGAGAAGGCCCCTCGGCTGCTACGGGACCCCCACGCGGACGCGAGGGCGAAGGAAGTACCGGGCGAGAGGGCGGGGGACGGCCGAGCCGAGCGCTGCGCGCGGAGAGACTCGACGCCCCAGCTGGAATCCCACACACCTCGGAGAGAACAAATAATTACCGATACCGCCACGGTGAGGGAATTGGGTAAGGAACCATTGGCTAAGGAATAGTCCAGGGCCTGGAAGCCAGAAGAACTCCAGTCGTGGACTGGCCAGGGATATCCTCCCTTCCGCCATCATCGAATGCAGGAACCCTCCAGAATTCGAAGCCTCCCGGGCACATTCCTGCGCGAACGCCCCGCACCGTATCCCTGGCTCCGCGGGGGGTCCAACTCGGGGTAGACGACGGCGGGCGCCCCTCGCGTGCTGGATAGGGGTGGGCCCGAATATGGCCTCTGGGTGTGTGTGCGTGTGTGTGTGTGTGTGTGTGTGTGTGTGTGTGTGTGTGTGTGTGTGTGTGTGTGTGTGTGTGTGTGTGCGTGCGTGCGTGCGTGCGTGCGTGCGTGCGTGCGTGCGTGCGTGCGTGCGTGCGTGCGTGCGTGCGTGCGTGTGTGTGTGTGTGTGTGTGTGTGTGTGTGTGTGTGTGTGTGTGTGTGTGTGTGTGTGTGTGTGTGTGTGTGTGTGTGTGTGTGTGTGTGTGTGTGTGTGTGTGTGTGTGTGTGTGTGTGTGTGTGTGTGTGTGTGTGTGTGTGTGTGTGTGTGGGTGCGTGTGGGTGTGTGTGTGTGTGTGTGTGTGTGTGTGTGTGTGTGTGTGTGTGTGTGTGTGTGTGTGAGTGTGTGTTTGTGTGTGTGTGCGTCCCCGAATGTTCCCCTCCTCTTCTGCACGGCCTGGCCTTTCTGGGAGAAGTCGGGAATCGGGGGCGAGAACACGAGGAAACGGCACGTAAGCATAAACTTTTGGCGCTCCGCGCGGATTTCTTGGATCCGCGCTAGGCCCCTCTCCCTGGCGCGCGGAGGGCGCCAGGGGCGACGCCGGAGGCGCCGCCGGGGGGATCACAGAGCGGATCCGAGGACTCCGCGCGGAGCGCCAACAGTTTATGTTTCTGTTTGTTTCGTGTTTATGTGCATGTTGTGTCATTTGTGATGAGCGTTTCTTGTGTGATTATGTTGCTATGTGTTCGGTGTGCTTATGCTTGTGCTCAGGTCGGGCATGTCCCACTACAGGCGGATCTGGGGCGAAATATTCAACGTTTCCAAACAAATACCCCCAAATGGTCAAAGATACGAGCAAAAATCGTCCCCCGTACAATTTTTGGACTCCTGTTGCATCTTCCTCCCGTCGAGGGACAGGCCCGACCTCAGCTCGTGTGCTTCCCTCTTCGAGGGCAGCTGCCCGCGGTCCTCGTCCCTGGGCGGCAGGGGCTTCCACTCGCGGTCCCGCAGCGAGCCCCAGTCCCGCATGTGGCAGCGCCTCCGCGGCCCCGCCGGTGGCCCGAGGAACCGGCAAGGGCACGCGCAGCACCGAGCTCTCGGCGCTCCGCGCGGGGACTTCTTGGGCCGGCGCCGGGCCCCCGCCTCCCTGGCGCGTGGAGCGCGCCAGGGAGGAACATTTCTCCTCCTCCTCCTCCTGCTGCTGCTGCTCTTCTTTTTTGCCCGTCTTCTCCTCCTCCTCCTCCTCCTCGTCCTAATCCTCCTCCTCCCCCTCCTCCTCCTCCTAATCCTCCTCCTCCTCCTCCTTCCCCTCCTCCTCCCCCTCCTCCCCGCCATGTCTCGGAGGTCTGCGTCGTAAACTTCTCGGATCGACCCTGGGCCCCCGACTCACTGGCGCGCAGAGCGCGCCAGGGGCTGCGCCGGAGGCGCCGCCAGAGGTGGCCCAGCGGCGGTTCAAGAAGCCCCCGCGGAGTTCTGAGAGGTTGCGGTCGGGAACTGTTCGCTTAGCGTGTCGCGGCGGGGGGGGGCCCTGGCGACATGCTGTGCCCTGCGAGCGGACAGCGTGTCGCTCCTCTCCGACGGGCGGGAGGCTCGGAAAGGCTCGGGAGGTTGACGCCTGGGAATGGGAACGTGGCTCGGGTGTCGCGCCGAAGCGTGGTGGGCCAGAACCAGTTGCGCCATGCGCTACGACACGCTAAGCCATCGTTGCCACCCCTTCTGATGAGCAGTAAGAGTACCCCCAAACCCTTTGGGAGCGGGCCCATTTTAGGAGGGACCTAAATTAGGAGAGACCTAAAATAGGGGGTCTTCTCTGCATATGTAACAGACCAAGCCGCCCAGATTTATCATCCCTAATGCGAAGACGGGGACCTAAGTGAGGCCACGTCTTCATCCTGTTCTCAGGGTCAGGGGCTCCTCGGTTCTCGATGATCCTCCTCCTCCTCCTCCTCCTCCTCCTCCTCCTCCTCCTCCTCCTCGATCCTCCTCCTCCTCCTCCGCGATGCTCCTAGATCCTCCTCCTCCTCCTCCTCCTCCTCCTCGACCATCCTCCCCCCGCGGGAGTTCCGAGAACTCGTGTCCGCGCACGCCCTTCTTCCTCGGGTGGCCGCGCTCGCCGGGCGCTTTGGCCGCGCGCCGCGCGGCGGCCGTGGCCGCCGAGGAAGGGGGGGGGGCGCGCGCCCCTCCCGCGGCGGCGCGCACGAGCGGGTGGCTTCCACCAGGGCGAAGCCAGGCTGGCCATCGCTCGGACGTCCATTCCCTGCGCTTTTGTCGGTTTCGTGCGTGGTTTTCTCGCCAAGTGATCAAGGATGCTCCTCGACGGTCCTCGCCGGAGGAAAGATGCACACGTCCGAACGATGCCAAGCAGGGCGAGGATCACATCGGGCGAGGCGACAGCCAGAATCTCGGACAGCCGGCGGCCCTGCGAGGATGTCTCTTGGGCGCCGCGGCCTGCTCGGAGCGTTCCAGGGGCGTTCCAGAACGCTCAAGTCGGCAGCAGGTCCTCCGACGGGCGGATTCTCTGGCCGAAGCCAGGACGAGCAGCACCTCGGGCGAGGATAGAGGGGAGGCCAGTACCCAGCCCGTCGGAGATGCAGGGGGGAGGGCATGACCTGTCCGCACCATTGCGCGCCGCGGCGAGCAGCCAGCTGGCGCCGGCCGCAAAGCCCTCCCCACAGGGTGCGCCCAGCCCCGGGGGACGGGGGACCGCTCCTCTCCCCTGCTCCTCCCCCTGTTTCTGTTTCGACGCCTTTGCGCTCAGG